GCTTCTTTAAGGAAATACAATTTGTATATTTTATAAAACATTCTTCTGTCCTGACCAATCCAAAACCTCCAACCCAAAGAGCACAACTCAGTATAACCACAGGATTAATTCCAAGAGTGGCTTTTTTTTTTTTTTTTTACTATTTTCTTTTATTGTGATAAAATATATGTAACAAAACCTAAAAATTACCATTTTAAATTGTACAACTTGGTGGGATTAATTACATTCATATTATGCAACCATCATCACTATTTCCGAGATTTTTCATCACCCCAAATAGAATTTCTGTACCCATTAAGCAATAAATCTTCATTCCCTCCTTTCTGGGTAACTTTTAATCTACTTTCTAGCTCTATGAATTTGCCCTTGTTCTAGATATTTTATGTAAGTGGAATAAACATTTTAAATTTTATCTTTTTGTGTCTGGCTTATTTCGCTTGATGTAATGTTTTCAAGATTCATCCATGTTGTAGCATGTATCAGAACTTCATTTTTTATGTGGTGGCTTAATTTTGTGTTTTAATTTCTTACATTATAATTGTTTGGAAGAGGAAAATTGAAGTAAAGTAAATCAATTTACTTCATTCTGCCATCAAATAACTACTGCCTTTCAACTCCCCTCACCTGGTAATCCATCTCAACTAACTAGACACGTTAATTCTCAAAATAGCCGACAAAGCAAGTTAACCCATATCCACAATGAGGAACTAAAGTATGTACTTTGCTTATTATCTGTCCAGGGGTCCTCAAACTACGGCCCACGGGCCACATGCAAATAAAATATTGTATTTGTCCCCGTTTTGTTTTTTTACTTCAAAATAAGATATGTGCAGTGTGCATAGGAATTTGTTCATAGTTGTTTTTTTTTAAAACAATGGTCCGGCCCTCCAACGGTCTGAGGGACAGTGAACTGGCCCCCCGTTTAAAAAGTTTGAGGACCCCTGGTCCTAGCATTAAAGAACTCTCCTCCCTTGGAGCCTTTCCTACCTCCAATAGCTTTTCATCTACATCCAAGTCAGATTCATGGAAAAGGAAGTTTGAAGACCTGAAAATCATGCCTACTCATTTTTCAAACACGTAAAGAATTAAAATGTTGGCTCTTTTGAATTATAGATATTAGTGTGAAAAACCACACATTTACACACCTTTGCTCTCTTGCAAAGTTGCTGCATGATGTTCAAGAATCACTATTAAACTGAACAAACAGAGAACATAGAAATTGTCATGAAGTATAAAATGACATGTGCAAGGTGCATATGACAAGGTGTTATGGGAACACACAACATAAAATTATTAAAGGCCCTAACCGGTTTGGCTCAGTGGATGGAGCATTGGCCTGCGGACTCAAGGGTCCTGGGTTTGATTCTGGTCAAGGGCATGTACCTTGGTTGGGGGCACATCCCCAGTGGGGAGTGTGCAGGAGGCAGCTGATCGATGCTTCTCATTCATCGATGTTTCTAACTATCCCTCTCCCTTCCTCTCTGTAAAAAAATCAATAAAATATATTTTAAAATTATTAAAGAAGTCTTCACAAAGATGGTTTTAGTCAAGTCTTGTAAAATATGTAGATTTCCAGGCGTGTGTGATTCAAGATAGCCCCAAATTCTTTACCAACCCTCTTCCTGAGAGACAAATTCCCATTAACTTCTGTTTAAATCTAGGCTGGCCTTCATGACTTGTTTAACCAATAACATGTGGCGGAAGTGATGTTCTAGAACTTCTGAGGTTAGGTCATAAGGCTTACTGCTGGGGTCCAGTCCCAGCGGTCCAGGGGTTCCCAAAGGTGTGGACGGAGTCGGCGAAGAATGTTTTACACGGAGACAGCGTTCAAAACTCTCTAGCTTTCCTTAGTCTCCGTGGATCTTCCCTGTGCCTGGCTGAGGCCACAGAGAGAGAGAGATCCCAAGGCAAACTGAGCCTTGATTTTATAGTGAGAGGTAAACAAGGTAGTGGTTACCATAGTTACACAGTTCTTGTGAGTTTCACTTGTTTACACTGTTTTTGTGAGTTTCACTTGTTTTTGTTCTTGTGAGTTTCACTTGTTTACACCATGGTTATACTTCCTGCACTTCCTCCGCCCATTAGCTCCCCAGATAAGATCTAGGGAGTGTTATAAGGTCAAGCCTAATTATGCTAAGAGGACTGTGCCCTCTAAGCTGGGAATTGTTTGTGACTTTGCCCACAGGTCAGTCCGAGGCTTAACCCTATATCGGCTCCCCACAGCTTACAGCATCTGCCTGGGAACCCTGGAACCATCTGTGGTAGCCCTGGTCGGCGCCCCATCTATGTCCATTACCTGAGACCGAAATGCTGGAAAGGCCACATGTAGGAACTCCAGTGGACAGTCTCAGCTGAGGCCAGCCTTCCAGTCATCCTCGCCTAAGTGTGTCATCTGAAAGACTCTGTTTTAGACTTTCTAGACCAGTCCATCTACCAGCTGAATATTCCCAAGTGGTCCGTCAATACCAACAGAAGACTCATCCTTGCTTGCTGAGTTTTGCTTCAATTCCTGATCCTCAAAAATCATAAGATACAGAATAATAAAGTGGTTTCTGTTTAAAGCCCCCTGGGTCTTCAGGTAGTTGGTATGCAGCAACACATCACTGCATCATCAGGTAAACAAGTGGGGAAAACATTCCACATAAAACACACACGCACGCTATGCTCCAACCACACTGCATGAACTCTGTTGTTTCCTACGTACACTTTGCCCAACTGTCTCACTGCGCCTGCCACATGCCCTAACCTCCTCCACCATCCTCAAATTCCAAATCCTAAATAACCTTTCTCGCAGCCCTTTCCCCCAGCGAAATAGCACTTGCTGCCTCTTGTGAACATGTATACGTCCACCTCTCGAATAACTAGGGAGGCCCCATCCCCTTTTTCTGCAGCAGTACAGATTTGTGCCTTTTGTTCCAATTACTTAATATGCCCCCTTTCACTCCCAAGAGTGTCTCATTTTAGCCCACAAATCACATGGTCACCCTGTGCTTACCACATTATTTTGAACTGCAGTTATTTGTGCAGAATTTTCTCTCTTCTTCTACCTAGGCTGTATGGTTACTTGCAAGCAAGTACCAGGTATCACCTTCAGTAACTATCTACGAAGCATCTAGGGTGGCAGATGTTGCACAGTGTTGTTCCGAATGTCCCGACTTTCCCCTGCGCTTTGTGCCCTGACGCCGTTAGGCCAGATCACCTCGCAGCTGACACAGACTTTGCTGATGAGAATGAAGTCTACTACTTGGAAAATGTTCTTTTCACGTTTGTTTCCTGTAGAAACAGACAGTACAGAGGATACCTGAGACAGAATACATACATACATTATTAGAGAAGTGACTACTGGGCCCTCCTCTTTTCTTTACCGAGTCACATCCAAAGTTTGGGGTCTGGGCATTGCGAGAAACCCACCAGGTCAACGAAGCCCAGAGCCCCGGACCCCTCTCCAGGATGGTGGACAAGAGCGGGGAGTGGCTGTGTCAGTCTGGTCCGTGTCTAGGATTTTGGACCCTATTTTCTTGCTGCAATCATCACATTACCTAGTTACTAAGGGGGCATTGACATGGGACCTACCTAAAGTCAGTGCAGCAACCTGGCCACCACCAACTAGAAAGACACTCAGGAAAAGCTTAATGAAAGAAGTCAGCAGCACCGTTACTAACGAAAGCCGTGGGGAAATGGAACTTACCTAGCTGGTAAAGGCTAATGGAAATAAAATGCTCAAAACCTGCAACTTCTAGACTGTTCTTCCAACTCAACCATCACATTTAGTAAATGCTTCCTTTAAATCTCTGGTCTTTATAAAAGTGAAATCTCTTTTCATTCCCATAAGGCGTTAGGCCTTCGTAAGGTAGGCTCAGTTTTGGCATCTGATGCTCCAAATGTGAAATGTTCTTAGAAAATGAACTGTGACTCATACATTCATTACAATAAATTTTATAAGACATTTTATTTTCATATTTTTGGAAATTGTTTTAGAAAAAAAAATGACAAGAACACATACAAAAACTGAAATCTTTCACAGAACTATGAACTCTCAGCAAAGAAAGGGACTTTTGAAGTGTTTGAGTCCCTCTCCTGGAATCACTTCTAAAATGTTCCTCCAGCCCTAACCAGTTTGGCTCAGCGGATAGAGCGTCGGCCTGCGGACTCAAGGGTCCCAGGTTCGATTCTGGTCAAGGGTACGTACCTGGGTTGTGGGCACATCCCCAGTGGGGAGTGTGCAGGAGGCAGCTGATCAATGTTTCTAACTCTCTATCCCTCTCCCTTTCTCTCTGTAAAAAGTCAATAAAATATATTTTAAAAAAATGTTCATTATGTGACTAACCTCCTCAAGTCTTTCCTAAGTTTGATGTATTTAATCTCATAAAAGTGACAAATAATTTTTAACCATTTAAAACAAAAGAAAGAGTAAAATGAGGGAGACAGGCCTCTTGTGTTATGTTTTTAGAGAAAAGTCACATCCTTGAAGGAGCTTTGTAACATGCAGAACACAGGACAGGCTTCAAGAACAACAAAACATTCTGTGCACTTGCATTACTTAAATGTGAACAGCTGCTGTTATCTTCCTCTATAAAAAGTGGCAAGCCAGCTCTGGCCAGTGTGGTTCAGTTGGTTGGGCACCATCCTGTGCACCAGAAGGTTGCCGATTTGGTTCCCAGTCAGAGTACAGGTTGGGTCCTAATTGGTGTGTGCATGGAAGGCAACCAATCAATGTTTCTCTTTCACATTAATGTTTCTCTCTCTCTCTCTCTCTCTCTCTCTCTCTCTCTCTCCCCCCCCCTCCATACTTATTCTCTCTAAAATTAATAAATACATATTTCTTAAAAAGTGGTAAGCTATATGCATTCAAGTACATTTTTAATTGTGGTTCATATAGATTTACACTTGGGAAGAGGCTGAAACAAAACCAAAACCAGCTAACAGAGCTGTTAATAAAAAACTTATTAATTATTGTGAGAAGCAATCAAATGAAAATCAATCTTATGTAACAAAACAAATTTCCAATCACATAAATACATTTTACTTTTTATTGAAATTTTCCACTCTCAGGAGATCCTGGATATAATAAAGGGATACATAAAATAGAAACAGTTTAAGTAAATGTGATTATTTGGTTCATTTCAGAAGGTCTATGGTCCAACTGCCAGCCACACAAGTCTCTGAGTTCTCAACGAAGTGTGACCAGTTCTTCCGAAGAGGTAGGGTGAATGGCAACCGTGTTGTCAAAGTCGGCTTTTGTGGCTCCCATTTTGACTGCAACAGCAAACCCCTGCAGCATTTCATCACACCCAATTCCTTGCATGTGGATCCCAACCACCTGGGAAACAAAAGAGAAAGATACCTGCTATTTAAAAACCTCTAAAAAACTTACATCTCTAATGACACAGCCCACAGGCCCTGCGTGGTGCTGTCTCAACATCCCTCCACAGCCCACCTCACACAGCCCTCCCTCGGGCTCTCGGCTTCCCTCTCTCCCGAGCACTCACACGTGCTCTCGCCTTTGCACAAATTGTTCACTGTCTGGACAATCTTCCTTCTCCTCTTTTAAGGATTAAAGCCCATTTATTCTTTAAATAGCTATACTTCGTTCCCTACCAAGTTAAACTATCACTAAATGATCTCTCACTACCAATAATTCTCCACCATGGTTCTATCACAACTGCAATGTTCTATTTTTATTTGGGGACCGGACAGTTGTAGTCCATCTTATCCAGGTGAAGGGGCCCCTATCTGCTTGCATTCCCCCCTCTATCCCTATGGCCAAGCACAAACACGCCCCTTCGGAGGCACTCAGTCCATAATGTTGGATGACTGAACAAAGGACTATAAAGGGCCATTTGTTTCAACTCACCATTTCCAGTGAGGTTTCTCACTATATTTTCAAACTATGAGTTTAATGTTCACTTTCAGCAAATACTTTTAGGGTAACCAGTCCATTGAAAAACAAAGTTAGAGAACCTAACATTTAGCCACAAAAATATTTTGTTTAAAAAGAAATCAAGAATATACTTAATGTTACTGAATGGTACACTAAAAAATGGTTAAGATGGTAAATTTTATGTTATGTGCTTTTTACAATTAATAAAAAGTATATCTCAACCTAAAGCAAACAAAAAAATACCAAATCATGCATTATATATGCACTATAGAGAAGATTTTTAAATATTATAATCTAAATTGAATTTATAACACCAGAGTTTCTTTACATA